ATTTAACGAAATACGAACTGAGAAACTGTCTATCATTTGAAGCGATCTGCCCTCGAAAGTAATCGAGCGTAGAGTTTCATGCAACTTAAGAATGGTTTAGTCATAGGAGTTCACTGGCTATCGTGATAGTTAAAGTATGAAGTCGAGTGAAAAGGAATTTTTCTTTTCCTAATATTAACAATACATAATTTTCTTTTGAAATATATAATCAATGACTAAACTATTCTTAGAAACTTCTCATAGCCTATTCAGCAAATATGTTATCCTATTGTTATAGCACGTTTTCTAATGGCAAATGTAATTGGTAAGTTTTCTTTCAAATAATAATTTCAATCCATTATAATTGTCTTTTATTTTAATAGATCAATTACTTGAACATCAAAATCAAAATGCTAGTACACATTTAATTTAAAAAATTATTCAATTACTTCGTTATTCAAATTTATTTGATTTTGATCAACTATTAATTTCAATTCAAATTGGATCTATGAAAAAAACTTGTGTTAGTCAAGCATTACAAACAGGTAAATATTGAGAAAAAAAAGGAATTTTTTTTATTTGTGTTTTTTTTTCTAAAACAATAGCTTATTCAACATATCAACGTTGATTTATTGAAATGAATGATGAATTCGATTCACCATCAATGATTAATAATGAAAAACGAACATCAGCTGCTAAACTTGTTCATCAATTATATTTTTTTTCCGATTAGATATATATTCAATATGGATGGTACGATAAAAAGTGATGATGAATCATGTATTAGTGTTAAATGTGCTATACCAATATGTCTATCGTATTTATCAACAATTTGGTCGATTTGATTACCTTATTGAAAGTATGTTTAATGCTTGTTTGAGGCTTCTTTTTGTAAAGTTTCAGTTCAGTGAAATAGATCTATTTTATAATCCAAAATTATTTCTAATGTCGTAACAGTAGGAGGGCTTAGGTGAAGGGGATTGTGGCAGAGTTTAGTTGATGTCGCTTTAATTGGTTAAAGTCTCAAAGTTTTAGTGAAAGTTATCTGATAGATATGACAATTTCACTATTAAATTGTTGAAACATATATATATATTGGAATCTGAAAATTCAAGAACGGAGATTTCTGAATATTGATTCAGCAACTCTAGTCCTATTCCTACTTTTAATTTTTTTTGAAACCAACAAAAGACTAGAACATTTTATTGAAGCTCAAAGCCTGCATTGATACATCAGAGATTGAAATTATATAATCACATAACTACCTCAAAAAAAGTTCTAAGCCGAAGTTCGAGATATGAAATCAATTGAATCCTCTAAGGAGTTTTTCTTTAGTCTTTGAAGATTTCTGATTAAATAAAAATTTTGTAACTGATATGAAATTTCCTAATGAGAAAAATGAAATTCTCATCTCTATATGACTTGAAATATATTAAAATTTATTGAACATCAAGGTATCTTTTTTTTTCTTTTCTTTAAGATATTACATATCTTTTATCTTTATGTGAACACGGTAATCTACATTTACGTAGTGCATGTGCAAATTTACTTGTTACATTAATTCAAACAACAATTCATCTTTTAACACTATCATCATTATCAAATTCATTTAATAATTCTTTTATTAATCAATGTTCACTTGTATCAACTGATTCACAAGATAGTTCAAGGTTATATGTCTTAATGATAATAATGCACGTGTTATACATGTTTCACTAAATGCTTTACGAACATTATTACATTTTTTTTATTAATTAATAGTCATGCATTTACAATCATAGGAATTGAATTATTAGAAGATTCTATTCAACATACTACAAGTTCCTGTATTCTTGCTAAAGTAGATAAAAGAAATTTATGTTTATAATAATTTTTTTTTGTGTGTATATAGAATAGGTTAGTCTAGCTCAATTTATAGATTATATTGATTTTCGAATATTAACTTATCTTGAACAACAACAAAAACAATTAAAACAATATATCCTGATATACGTGTTCGTCAAGCAGCTGCTTCGACTTTTGCTAAGTATGTATTGTGTAGAGATGTTAACTAGGTAGCTTTTTTTCGAATTTGGATGAATAAGTCGATTTTATTACATTAAGTTAGTTATTAGCTACTTTTTGATTTTAAGGTTTTGTTGATCACAATTCATTTTTACCATGTCAATGGATATATAAAATTCATCATTCATTACAAGCTCAAGCATCAGCTCGAATACAAATTGTTTGTCATTTTTGTCTTTTTATATAGGTTGGATGTTTAGAAGATATTTATGTTCTTTCAAATGTTTTAAGACCAACAACAATTCGATCAATTTTTTCATAATCAATATGATGAACTTCGTTTATTTATAAATTTTTTTAAACATTCCTTTATATTACATGATCTTAAGAATTTAATCTTTTCAAGTAAAGAGAAAAAAAAGATATTTATTACGTTTTTTTTAAATTCTTTCTTTTTATTTGAAGATTTATCAAATCTCAGCAAACGAAAAAATGTTTTGAAAGTAGCACGAATGATTCAAGTAATTCGAAAAATTGAACTATCTTATCATCATTCTTTTGGACAGAATATAGTTGATATTTCAGTTTTCAGAGAAGAAAGGAGTTCCAAAGTGTTAGATTTGAAGAATATATGTAATCATGTTTCGTCTGAACGAATTCATTTGTTTTTCTTTTTAAAGAGAATAATAAAGATTCATCAACAACATCAAACACAGACAAAGATAAAAAAAGTTAATCATACACAATTAGGTACTTTTGGAAATTATTCGAATTAATACGTTCATCTTATCAAATACATAAAAGTTTATTAAATTCATCAGAAATGACCATTATTGTCTATGAAATCAGTTGTAAGTCCTATTTCTACACAAGATTTATCAAAAAATTTTGGAAGAGAAACACTTAATTATTTTTAATCAACATTCAACATACACAAGAGATAACTTCTTTTAAATAGTAAATATTTATTGTAAAGAAAATTTCAATTATTAATCTTCTTTATTTATTGGTTAAGCTTAAACCTTTAGGATGTTGTATTGTGTCTGAAACTTGTCTATGGATAAGACTTTAGATGGAAATCTTATAATGAAGGTTTCTGAAAGGGTCTTTCCTAGAGAAGGAAAATTTCAATATAAGAATGTCATAGTAACAGAAAAACTGATTTTACGAATATCGATGATCTTAATGAGAGTAGTTTTGTTGTGAAAGTGTCAGATCTTTTGATTCGGTTCTATCTTGAAATTCGAATACTAAATTATCTAGTTGACGTGAGCGATCTACAAGACACACTATCAATTCGAAATTTGAAAATCATTTTTTCTGTTAACACAACATTCATTTAAAAATATTCTTTTAATTTAGTTTTTATTAAATCTTCAAATGTTTCTTCACAAGTATTATTAAATAATTCTTTAACCTATATTCATACGATAAGTATTCGACAATCGATAATTTATTTTATTTGGTTCATGTTATGCATCAAGTATAAATAGTGCAATACGAGAGTAAAATAAACAAAAAAAATGAATTTGATCTATTCTGTTTTTTTTTGTTTTCTATTTTAGTTTTTATTGAACTAAAAAATTAGTCTTAAAAAATATATTAATATACAAATGAAAGTGATTTTCAAGCTGCTATACTCCATTTACTTGTTCAATTGCTTTTAATTCGTGTTAATAATAGTTAATTAGAAGTTGATGAAATTCGTTGCATTTCTAATCGTTTCGTTTATTTTTAAATAGCATTTTATTTATTGTATTGCTGAATTTCTTGTTATGTTATCACATGATACATTTCATTCAAAACAAGTTATTAACATACAAGATTTAATAAAACATTATGATTCACTATTAGCAAGTGGACATGAATCTGAAACACATGGTAGGAAGCAAAAAAAAAACCATTTTCGAGAAAAATAAATTATCGTTAAAATTCTTTATTTAGCTTTGACAGCATTAGAACCAGTTTTATATGATTTTTTTTCTTGTTCGAGTTATGCGAATAATTAAAATTCCTAAAACGTTTTATTACATAAGAGTGTGAGTGTGTAGATGTAATTTTTTTCCTCGATTGAACCCACACTCACACTTCAACAAATCGATGATCTGAAAATAATCATCTTGTTGATGTCCAGAACTTAACAAGATTTAGAGACAGTAATCTTCAGTTATGTATTTAAGTTTGAAGGAAAACTAGGCGTCTTAATTATTATAAATAAAAGTATCTTTTCATGTCATGTGTATGTACTGAAAAAATAATAATAGAATTTATATTGTTATAGGCTTTACGATTGTTCACAGTTATTGTTAATAGTGTTCAAATTGAAGATGATAAATGGGAACGTCTTTCACGACAAATTGTTCATTTACTTCTTGCTCATTTACAATCTCAGGTTATTTTTTTGTTCAAATAGGATCAATCACTTTTCGATATTTATTCCACACAATTAACACTATATTTGATGTTGTGTCATCAGTTGCATTACAATCAATTGATCCATTTGTTGTTGCTTTTCGAGCATTAGTAAATAGATATGTCCGTTGTTTTTATTTATAAAATTTTCCTATATCTTAAAATTCTTTTTAGAATGTCAATTGTCAATCTACAAATCGATAGTTAATCAATATAAATATAATATTTCGATGTCTTGTAGAAAATTTAACTGAAGATGCTATATTAACACGATAGAATGATGTTTTATTATCAGTTAATGGAACACGAGATGAAACTTTTAGTAGGTAAGTATTCGAAATGATTTTATTTATAATTTAAAAACTATTATTCTCGTTTTTGTTTTCAGAGCTTTTCTTCGTGTTTTACATGATATAATATTATGAATTTTAACTAATACTCGACAATTATGTGGTCAAATCAATATGACATTAGGTTCTCTTGCATCCGATTATCTTTATGTACATATCACCCATTAATTTGAAGATAAAACTTTCCTGCAATTCATTAATTACTAATGACCTAGCGAAAAACATTTGACTTTAAAATTCCTATGCTTATATACGATCTATAATTTTATTTTGGCTAAACAATTTCGAATAATTGTAAATGATTTTCATCAATTATGAATTCATGATGAAACTGTACATCGGCTTGAGACATTTTCATTTTTAGTTATTTTAAGTGAATGTTTTAAATTATTATGATCATCATTTTATATCTCATTATTATTACAATGGATACATATTCTGAATATGCTTGATTATACACAAGAAGCATGCTGGTCACCGACATTAACACCATCATCAAGAATACATTTATCTATCAGTGGTCAATTACAATCTTATTGTGATTTAATATATCATCATGAATTATATGTTGAACATTTTACATCAATAACAACACATTATCAATTATTATTATTATTTTTTATTTTATCTTATACATCATACATCAGTTGCAAGTCATTTATTCGTTTCTGAAGGAATACATTTATATGAAAGTGGTCTTATATTAGTTTTATTAATTGAACAATTTCTTCCATTACCATTAAATAAACAATTATTACCTAAATATTTACCATAAATTTTATAAATATTATCAATAACAACATCAATTGATATTATTAAAGAAGATTTTAATAATCTTAATTGTCATATGAATATAACAAGAAAAATTTATGAACAAATGTTTAAAAATGTAGCTTATAAAAACTGATTACCATTTATGATGTCACCGGTATGTTTTAGTTTAATTTATCGAAATAAATAAATATATATTTATAATAAAAATTTTAATCCAATTAAAAGAAATTTTTGTTTTTTACTTTGACATTGTTAATGTGCTAGTAATAGATGAGACTTTTGAATAATTCAAAATTTCGAAAAATATTTTGACATAGAAAATATGCAGAATTTCAGGTAATACAAATCGTAAAGGAAAGCATTTAAGCTACATTAGTACAATGACCGAATAATTTCTCTCGAATCTTATTGATCAAATTCTTAGTCGTGCTATTTGTACTATTACAATTAAAGAAAACGACGTCTTTCTAACATGGTATTTCGAAATAAATTGCATTCGAGAATTTCGATAAACTTTCTATAAGTTTGAACTCGTGGACCCCGAAAACGTATTGGATTTTTTTCACAGCATTAAATTTTTAGGATGATTCTTATAGTAAATGAAAATTAATTTGAAAAAATAACAAACAATATAAATCTGTTCTTTGTTTATTTTCCTAGGATTTTGTATAGTTATATCAAATGAAACAAATTAAAATGACATTGAAACAACACCTAATAAAATTTATGAAAAAAGTCTTTTATCATGCTTCTAATAATCAACCATATTCAATTGCATTCATAGATTCTCTATTAATATATTTTGATAAAATACAAAATCATGTTGAATTAACATGTCAATTTTCAACAGGTGATATACATGATTTATTACGTTTTATAATATTTATATCAGAAATAATTTATATAAATATATTTCAAAAAAAAAAACATCATTTCTTAGTTGTGAAACAGATCAAATAATATCATGCTGTACATTATCGAAAATACTATTATCAATATTTGAATATCTTTATCAACGTCATAGTTTAACTATATCAAATATATTATAATCATATTTAAATTTAATTGAACCAGATAAAAGAACATCTTTATTATTTAACAAAAAAAAATTAAATATATATATATATCATATATTTATTGACATGATTTACGTTGTATAGCTATATTATTATTTTGTTTATCAATATTTATATAAAGACAATTTTGGAGTTGGTTGATTATTAAGAATACAATTTCAAGAAATATAGGCTTCATTTTTAGCTTCGATTAATTCACCACAAATCAATCTAATGATGAAAAGAAACAAACAACAAATAATTTTAAAAAAAGAAGAAGAAACTTTAGAAACAAATGCAACACAATGGTAACAAGATTGAAAAATAAACTAGATTTTATCTGTTTTGTTTTTTTATCGGTGGTCAATATATGCAAACACGTTCAATATTAGATACAAGTTCAAATAATTTATTTACAAATATTGAACGGTTAAGTACACGTGATTTATTATCCTATGGACAACTTTCATATGATACTATATTAACATCAATCCAAAGTAATAATACATTACCATTATCAGTTAATGTAAGTCTCACATATGTTTTAATAATCGACAAATAGAACTCTAAGTTAAAAGAAAGATAAATTCATTGCTATATTATTAATTTCATCAAAGAGAAAATCTAGTGTTTCTCTGACTTTGATTTGATATATAATACATGCAAACTATCTTATTTTATAGAGATAAAAGCTTATATCAATAATTTCAAATATATTCTATGAATCAGAAAATTAGAGTATGAACATTTTCTTTGCTGGCATCTACCTTTAAAAATATATAATTTAGAGTTTATTTGATAGATTATTTTTTCATCATGGTTTTGATTTAACATTATCATTACAAATTCTAATTGAAATATATGCAATATAAATTAATAGGTTCAATTATATATCTATCTGATTTATTTCCATTATCATAACATTTATCAAATTTATATGATGAATATTTTTGTACATGGTTTGATGAAGATGATTTAATAATATCCTTAATAAGTTATAATTTATGTAAATCTAGTATATTACTTGGGCAAACAACAAAGAAATATAATGAATTATATCTACGTTTAATTGAACACAATTTTAAATTAACTAAAATTCATGCATATGCATCATGTTTATTTTTACTTGAAAGTCATGAAATTGATTTAAATTCATATGATATTTGATTATCATTAATTAAAGATGATAATTTAACACAAAAAATTATATCAATTAGTCTTGAAAAACTTTTAATAGTTGGTCAATATCCCAAAAATGATATATAGTGTTAATACTTTCACGTATTTATACATTATTACAACGACTAAATAAAAATACAAAATCTATAATATAATGAACATGTTAATAAAGAACAAACAATAATTGATAGTTCATCAATAATATCATCATCAGATAATATTCTTATTGAACTTGTTGAAGAATTATATGCACGTACAAAACAATCATCAACATTACCATATGAAGCTTTACTTTTATTACGTCCTTTATCATTATTACTTACACACATTAGTTTTTTTTTTCGTGCTTTAATTAATGCACGTTATTCAGCTAAAGTTAATGAATGGACTTTATTATCAATGACAAATATTACACAAAGAAAATCACTATGTATGGCTATATGGGAGTTAACTTGTCTTATGTTAAGTGCATGTCTATCACAGGGTGTGGGTGAAGACAAGACCTATAATGATACCCACACCCACACCCTCTTATGAGTAAAATTCTGCCTATGGTTAAATATTCTTCCTAGTTTTCTTTTTAAAAATTATCAAGACCTACACATACGATTAAAATGTATTTGAAAAAGATAAATAGTAAAACATTAATGAAAAACAAAAACTCTTTATTGCAATCCGAAGAAATGACGATCAATACAAAATCAATAAATTTCGCCATGAAATGTCAAAATGAATTTTCATAGGTAATATTGTATATCTTTTACTTTTTAAGGTTTTTATTGATGTTATTACGTTTCGGTGCTCGTTTTGAAGAATCAGACAATCGTTTATTTCTTATTGCTGATCGAAAATACTATCTGCAGGTATATTAAAAGAAAACTTGCAAATATCAATTGTATCAACAAAAAACAAAAAATCTATTTTATTTATTTTAGTTAACGAAGATTGAACATTGACGTCAATTTGAATAAGCATTCATAAATGAATCGAATCTAGAAAAATTATATGCTGTTTTACTTGAACACATTCAAAATACGGTGTGGATGTAGATGTCGTTTGGATATGTTGATGAATCATATACTCTCTCTCTCTGTCATCCATACCCACATCTTCAATAAAGACTAAAAATATCAATTCATAAAATGGAACCTTAGCAACAAGAATTAATTTATTTACTTTTTTTCTTTTTACTAGAATTGGTCTCTATTATAACAATCATATCTAAATTCTCTAAATCAATCAGAATAGATTGTCATTTATTTTGTGCTCTAGTTTCTGTTTGGCTTATTGATTTATATTTCATATCGTATGTTTTATTATGATTTCAATCATTGATTTAACCAGTAAATAAGTCGATTACATGTATCCATTAAACATATTTTAGCCATTGAAGTTTTAACGAAGACTTTTTTAAATCAGGTCGCTAGAGTTTAAGAAAAAGTTACACAAATCTGGATTAAAACTTGCATTTATAACCAGTACTTTTAATAATATCAAGAAGAATGTGAGTATAGATGTTGATATTCTGTTTAACCACATCTACACTCTTTGAATCGTTTTGGTTTAGTAGATTATTTGTAAAAAGCAACTAACATACTTCATACTATTGAACTGTTTTCTGAAAATCCATTGAAAATGATAAATTCAAAAAGTCTCGCACTACACCATTGTTTCTTTTTATTCAAATAGCAATTCTTTTTTCTTGATTTATTATTCGTATTTTTTATTATTTTATTATCAATACAAAAAAAATTTCACAATAAAGAAAAAAATTGAATATTTTAATGTAAAAAAGCAATTCATCATTGACAGTATTTAACGATAACTATCAGAAAAAGGAATCAAACCAACTTCCACAGGTTCGAGTTCATTCAGTTCGATGCCTGACAAGCGCGGTATTATCCTGTAAAATTATTTTAGATTTTAAATTTGAGAATTTTTTTAATGAAAAGCATAAGTTAAAACTCAACAATACAATCATCGAAATGCATGACTTCAGAAAAAATAAATCATAAATAACGAAAATTCAATCATCACTAAAGAATACTCTGTAAGAAAATGATCGCACCATGTTCCTGTTACATTCTAAAGATACTAAAAGGCTTGTAAACACATTCTAGAATACTTCAAACATATTTAGATTTTATTTTAAATTTATTTAACTTTTTTAAAATTTATTTCTGGATTTTTGGTAAATGTTTACAAAATGTAAATTGATCGCTTTGCAAAATATTCCATCGAACATCGTTTGATAATCACATATAACATCACAACTTTACAAAAATGATTATATTTTAGCTAATCATTTTTTTTTCATATGCTTATCTATATTTATTCATTGTTTCAAAATTACTAATATCTGTTTATGGAAGAAGTCGTTGTTTCAATGAATAGTATGATGTTGAATCCTGTTCTCTTTTCATTACTGAGAATAGGAGAGACGATTAGCTTCAAAACTTTTTTTCTCACAATCTACTTTCGTGATTTAAATTTTGTGTTCTAACTTATTTAACTTTGTTTCAAATATTTTTTTTTGTTGTTGACACAGTAAACTTTGCATACATGTGACGAAATAAAATAAAGAAATCTTTTCTCGTAAAATTTAATTTAAACAGAAATATATACAATAAGGTGTGAGTTTTCGGTTCATCTACAAAGCCATACATTCTATTGTCTAGGAATTCTTTGTATTCTTCACTTTTTCTTCTGGAGAAGTGTTTCTTTTTTCTTTTTGATTTTGGGACAATTATCAATTTAGTTTGCGTTTTGTTTCAACAAGCAAGTCGTTGCAAATCTTCTAGATTAAGAAAATATTTTTCCACAGTTACAGTTTGTTGTCTGCCTCTTCTGAATAGATCAATCAATCTCATTCACATTTTTCTAGCTAATAATTGTCATTGATATCTACTTTTAAGAATCATCAGGATCATAAACTCAATCATTTGATTTTATTGTAATATAAGATTACCTGATTTTCTCCAACATGACATTTCTTGAACTCTTGCAACGACATTCTTTCTCAGACATTCGCCATCGACAAAATTGAGAAACTCTAAGATATTATCAGTTAAGTCTTCTAATCTTAAATAAATATATTTCTCCTGAATAATTGAAAATTCAGATAAAATTAGAATTGACTTGTATCACAAATATTCACTCTATTCGTTAACTAACCTTAAGAAAATCTTATATTTTGTGTTTGAATATTTGGAATATAAATATTTCAAAAGTTATTCAAAAGAAAAAGAGAACTTTGCAAGGTCACGATCTTTAAAATGATGATGCTGAAATCTTGCAGAACGCTGGTAGAAGTAGTTAATAGTTATGTCATTGATTGTTTTAAAAACTATGCATTGAAAAAAAAAACAAAAAAAAACATGCCTGTTAACCCTTACTCAAGTATTCGCTAGTCAGAGAAACATTTGAATCATTAGCCTTAATAGTTATTTCCATACAATGTAGTATTTATACATAAATTTTTTGATTCTTAGTAAATTTATCAATAAAAATCTTGAACAAACTGTTCAAATTCTTCTGAAAAATCATGATCTTTATAAATTTACTTATGCGCTCATAAAAAAAAATGTGTTTTTTCTTAACTACTGTTTCCTCGTACATTGAGATAAGTCCAGTGAATGATAAAGTTAATTTTGTCAACTGTTGTCTTTTAAAGAAGACTCATGGTTCCATAGACTATGCATGCCTTTTTCTTTTCATATCGAATATAATTGTTGTTGCTATTTTCAAGGTACTATTGCCTTTAATCAATTACTTTTTGGTTAAAGAAGAGCATAAAATTTTGATAGCATTTGATATCAATATTTTCGAAGTAAATCATCAGTTAAGAAGAAAGTTAGAAGATTTACAAAACTTTCACTTTCATCTGATTATCTATAGATGACTGAATCAATTTGTTTGATCTGTCTTCTCGATTTCTTTTTTCATAGATCTTTTAAAGTTCTACAAAAGATATCTTTTTCTCTATTGCATTCATATTATCAATTTTGAGTGAATAATTTTATCTTATATTTGTGAGAAAACTTGTTTTTCATAACATCAGTTTGGGTTTCACCTCTTCAAGTGTTTTATAGGAGACTTATCATTTCAATGGAATAATATTCATTTATCTAGCATCTTCTATTGAATTTTAAAAAGAACACTAAGATAATTTTAATTAAAGCTGCAAAAATCGTCGAAAAATATATCCAAGCAAGTAGGATATGAGACAACAAAATTTCAAAACAGGAAACTTTTCAAACATAAGATTGTCAATATGAATACCTTTAGGAATATAAAGAATGTTACAAAATTAAAATCATAATCATCTAATATGATGAATATTATTCCATTGAAACGATAAATTTTGTATTAAATCTATTCAGATAAAAAAAACACATAAAGCTGTTATGAAAAAAATTCTTCTCAATGAAATGTAAGATGAAATTAGTTATTGGAGATTAGTACAATAGGAAAATAACATTGGACTAGATTGATGCATTCTACAAAATTATATATTTCAATCAATGAACAGTTTATAAATTCATTGTCTTCTTAGATTAACTTGTCATATATGTTTATCTACATCAAAATGGTAATGAGACAAATGCTTGTAAGGTTTCTTACATCAAACTATCAGCTGTAACTGAAAGTTTCTACATTGAAAAAACTGATTTTGGTGTGGGTGAGTTTGGATGAGGTCAGAAAGAAGAGATTTACCCACATCCTACAAAAAAGCTTGTCAAACTCGTGAGAATGTGCGTAGGGCACATCTGAAATTCATTTTTCTTTGGCACCCGTGCGGAAGATGCAAGAACAAAAATAAATGGTAATTAAATGACTTAGTATTTTAGTGACCATTGATATCTCGTATCTTATATGCATATACACGTTAATTATCGTTTTGTATAAATTAACTTTATCCATGAAAGAGTCTCGAAGATTTACTATATATACAAAATAAAAAGAACAATAATGTTCGAATAAAGGGATATGCAATTGATATTCGTTATCAATCAATGTTCAACTTCATTTATTAATATAGATAAATTAGATTTTAAAAAATAACTATGAACATATATGAGAATTATGAAAATTCTGCAGTCAGACGTCTTTTCTACTCGTGCTTAGTTTGAGTGGAGGTCTAGTTTAAATATGTTACTGTTATTGAACAATGAAATGTTGTAATAAGTTTTAACTTTTAAAATATTAATATATAAGGATAAATTTGAAATAGTATAATTATTTATTGTAAGAATACTTAAAAATAGAATACATTTCAAGTTGTTTATTTTCGGTCAGTTATATGTGAGAAAGGAAATAGAACAAGATGATAAAGAGAAGAGGAGTTAAAAAATAGCGTTTGGTGTCAAAATGTATCTGGAAATAAATTGATTATTAATAATAAAAAATATCTTTTGGTCAAATATTAGTGTTATTGTTTTCATGTAGGAGTAATTTTTGTATACATTCTAGTGTACAACTAGCAAAGAATCTTAGTATGATTTAATATCAAACACAGAAGATCTTTTCATCTGATTTAACTTACGAAACAAAATTTTAAAAGTTTTGCTTTATTCATGTTGAAAACTTCTTATGATTCTTTCACAAAACAAGTCTAAGTACAAGGAAATAAAGAAATATTAGCAGTTTCATTTTATTATAATCATACAAAAAGTGTATAAAGAATGAGTATTTGAACTTTGCAGATCATGCAATTGTTTCTCATAAAGTTGATCATATTCATCTTCGCCATTAATAGTAAGAACTTTTAATTTCGGAAGATCGTTGATAAGTAAATGTGACACTTCAATGACTTGCAAATGAGGAAGTCGCTCGACAATTAAATAGGCAATATTTACCAAATTTGGTTGTCACGAAATAGGAAAAAGATTGAGTTATCGTAAGCCATTTGACATGAGCATTCTGCACAAAGAAATATTATCGAATAGATAGATTA